GCGCATTTGGGTTTCCCCCGGGGTGTCTTTGACGCACGGAGCTCCGAGCAGGCCATGCTGTGGGGTTTGGGGGGGGGTCTGGCTGCCTGTCAGGGCCAGGGTGACCCCAGCAGGGTCCTGTCCCTCTGTCCCCGCAGTTTGGGGCCATCCGGGTGCGGTGCCTCTTCACCCCCTGCCACACCACGGGCCACATGTGCTACTTCATGTGGGAGGACGGCTCCCCGGATGCTCCGGCTCTTTTCTCAGGTATCCCACCTTGTGCACCCCAGGGACATGGGGGTGCTGCCTGTCCCCCCCTTGTCCCCACCAGCAGGGTCCTGTCCCTCTGTCCCCGCAGTTTGGGGCCATCCGGGTGCGGTGCCTCTTCACCCCCTGCCACACCACGGGCCACATGTGCTACTTCATGTGGGAGGACGGCTCCCCGGATGCTCCGGCTCTTTTCTCAGGTATCCCACCTTGTGCACCCCAGGGACATGGGGGTGCTGCCTGTCCCCCCCTTGTCCCCACTTGGTGAATCCAGCACCAGGGTCCCCTCCGTGCCCAGAGCCCTTTCCCCGCAGGTGACACCCTGTTCGTGGGCGGCTGCGGGAAGTTCTTCGAGGGGACGGCGGAGCAGATGTACACCAACCTCACCCAAATCCTGGGGGCTTTGCCTAAGGAGACGGTGAGTGCCCCGGATCACAGCCCCCAGCCTGGGGAGAGACCCCAAAATCAGGAGAGGGCTGGAGGCTGGCACCGCCTGGGGGGCAGCGCCCGTCCCTGGGGCTGCAGCGGGACCGGGATGGGTCGGATTTGGCGCCGGGTGCGTGTGTCACGCCGGGTGCTTCCCATTGCCGTTGCAGAAGGTTTTCTGTGGCCACGAGTGCACCGTCCGAAACCTCAAATTCGCCTTGAAAGTGGAACCGGAGAACGAAACAGTGAAGAAGAAACTGGCGTGGGCCAGGGTGAGCGGCTGCGCCCCTGCCGGGGTGGGGATGGCGGGGGTGTTGGATCCTGGCGGGTGTTTTTGG